CCCTCCTACAACTCACTAATGATTTACAGCTAAAAACAATGGCCACTACTCTTTACTCTTGCTATTAGACCTTTCTGCTGCTTTTGATACTGTTGACCACCTGCTCCTCCTCAAAAAACTCCACTCACTTGGCCTACAAGACTCTGTTCTCTCATGGTTTTCCTCCTACCTATCTAAGCGCTCCTTTAGTGTCACCTACAAATCTACCTTCCTCTCCTCTTTTCTGTTGGGGTCCCCCAAGGCTCTGTCCTTGGACCCCTTCTCTTCTCGATCTACACCCTATCCCTTGGTCAGTTGATCACCTCACATGGCTTCCAATACCATTTCAATGCTGATGACACTCACATATATCTCTCCACTCCACAACTCCTCCCCTTACATATCACTAATTTACTAACTGACATATTAGTCTGGATGTCAGAACACTTCTTAAAGCTCAATCTTTCAAAAACTGAGGTCATGGTAATCCCTCCCCCCCGTGCACCCTCCCCAACGTTTCGATCATGATTGATGACACAACTATCCAACTCTCCCCCCATGCCACCGGGATTGGGTGTCATCCTTTACTTGGACCTCACCTTTCTGCCCCACATCCAATCACTATCCAAATCCTGCCGTCTTCACCTTCGTAACATCTCCAAAATATGCCCCTTCCTCACCAATGAAACCACAAAACTACTCTTCCACTCACTTGTTATATCTTGTCTTGACTATTGTATCTCCCTCCTCGTTGGCCTACCTCTACACAGGCTATCCCCCCTTCAGTCTATCATGAATGCTGCTGCTAGACTCATCCACCTAATCAACTGCTCAGTGTCTGCAACTCCCCTCTGACAATCCCTCCATTGGCTTCCAATCGCCCAAAGGATAAAATTCAAATTACAAAACCATCCACAACTCTGCCCAGGTTACATCTCCAACCTTGTCTCAAAGTATCACCCTAACCCAGGGTTCAATATTTCAGGCGCTGAGCTACTAGCCAGGCCTTAAGAGTTACTTGCCACCAGTTGCCCCATCTAACCGCTACCCTGCCTCGGCCTTAACAGTGCAGAGGTCAGCAGTACAGTGGTCAGTAATGTAACACACAGTACAGAGGTCAGCAGTACAGAGGTCAGTTATGTAATGCACAGTACAGAGGTCAGTAATGTAACGCACAGCACAGAGGTCAGCAGTATGACACACAGTACAGAGGTCAGTAATGTAACACACAGTGCAGATGTCAGTAATGTAATGCACAGTGCAGAGGTCAGCAGTACAGAGGTCAGTAATGTAATGCACAGTACAGAGGTCAGCAATGTAACGCATAGTGCAGAGGTCAGTAATGTAATGCACAGTAAAGATGCCAGCAGTACAGAAGTCAGTAATGTAATGCACAGTACAGAGGTCAGTAATGTAACGCACAGTACAGACAGAGGTCAGTAATGTAACGCACAGTGCAGAGGTCAGCAGTACAGAAGTCAGTAATGTAACACACAGTACAGAGGTCAGCAGTACAGTGGTCAATAATGTAACACACAGTACAGAGGTCAGCAGTACAGAAGTCAGTAATGTAATGCACAGTACAGAGGTCAGTAATGTAACGCACAGTACAGAGGTCAGTAATGTAACGCACAGTACAGACAGAGGTCAGTAATGTAACGCACAGTGCAGAGGTCAGTAATGTAACACAAAGTGCAGTGGTCAGTAGCGCAACGCACGGAACAGAGCTCAGTAATGTAACGCAAAGTACAGAGGTCAGCAGTATGACACACAGTACAGAGGTCAGTAATGTAACGCACAGTACAGAGGTCAGTAATGTAACGCACAATGCAGAGGTCAATAACGTAACACACAGCGCAGATGTCAGCAGTACAGAGGTCAGTAATGTAACGCACAGTGCAGAGGTCAGTAATGTAATGCACAGTACAGAGGCCAGTAGTGCAACGCACAGAACAGAGGTCAGTAATGTAAAGCAAAGTACAGAGGTCAGCAGTACAGAGGTCAGAAATGTAATGCACAGTACAGAGGTCAGAAATGCAATGCACAGAACAGAGGTCAGCAGTATGACACACAGCACAGAGATCAGCAGCACAGAGGTCAGAAATGCAATGCACAGAACAGAGGTCCGTAATGTAACACACATTACAGAGGTTTGCAGTGTGAGGCAGAAAGAACAGGGACTTAGAGTGCACATAGCTGATCTGGTTTAGGTGCCCTGTTCCTCTACTGGTGGGGGTAAAGAGATGAATCCTCCATGTTCAGAGCTGAATCCTCCCTTTAGGACACGCTGAAAAAGTCATCCAGCCGGCCAATAGCATTTGCAGTCTTCTTCCCAGCCTATGAAAGCTGAGGTGGGCGGAGGAAGCTGCAGGTGGCCGTAGTGAAGGGAAGACAGCTGAACTGATTCTTCTCCTCCTTGGCCGCTCTGTAGCAGCAGTGGCCAAGGAGGAGAAGAATCAGTTCGGCTATCTTCCCTTCACTCCGGCCAGATGGATACGGAGGTCTGGGTTGGAAAGTGGGGGAGGTTTGTGGAGCCCATCTGCAGAATCTTGCCCTGGGCCTGATTAATATTAAAGACAGCCCTGATGCTAGTCCTGATTAGTGATGAGCTGGAGGTTTGCCCAAACCAACTCAAAACTGTGACTGACAACCCCTTCCTGGCCAAATCAGTGTCAGCAGGTGAATTCCCTGCCCCTTTCTAATGTGTAACTGTGGGGCAAGGAATGCACCTGTCATAACTGACTGGGCCGGGAGAGGAATGCATGAGTCACAGTTGAGTTGGCTTGGGCGAACTAAGGTGAACTGGGTTCGCACCAAGCCCCAACTCATCACTAGTCCTAAAGTGGTTAAGTCAATGATCAACCAGAACCTCCAGATTCTTCTCGGTGATACTCAATTTTACTCCCCCTGGATGGTATAATGCATGCATAGGCTAGCCTACACTCCAGACCAGCCTTCCTCAACCAGTGTGCTGTGGCACCCTGGGGTGCCTTCTGGCTTCTTTAGGAGTGCCTCAAAATTGTCATACAGCATCATGGCCAGCTGTCAGCACCATGGCAATGAATTACACTAATCCAGGGAGGGTGGGATCTATTCAGAAAAGGATGGATGTTCACCTACATCCAGACCTGCTCCCCCTCCCACTGTCTGCTCCCGCAGCTGCTACTCCTGGTGTGATGGGGGACTGAGGACTCTGATGTAGAGAGGGAACTGCTAATGTGAAGAGGGAACTCTGATGGGAATGTGGGGGCTCTTATGTGACTAGGTAGCATGGAGCCGACTTCCCGGCCAATCAGGAAGCCGGGCAGTGTGCAATTACTCGCTGCCCAGCTTCCTGATTGGCAAAGCTGGCCAATCAGGAAGCCAGGCGGCGAGTCATTACCCGCCCCCTAGCTTCCTGAATGGCCAGAAAGCTGGCTCCATGGCTAATCAGGAAGCCGGGCGGCGAGTCATTACACGCTGCCCAGCTTTCTTAATGGAATCGGCGAGTACCGAAAAAAATGATCGGTACTCGTACTCGGTAAAAAAAACGCTATCGGTGCATCCCTACTTTTAGGTATGAGTTATGAGGTCTACATTCAGTCTGTTATCTCTTGTGTCAAACAGAATGATCATTTGTAGTTCAAAAGTTTTGAATTCTTGAGTATTTTTCAAGTTCCCTTAAAGAATGAAAACACATGTCTTCCAGAGAATGGTCTGGTTGTGAAAAATGATATCCAACAGATATGCTGTAATCATCTTCCTTATGCTCTGTTATGGGGAGGTCTATGTAGATTTATTGTTTTTTTTTCTTCAAATGTCTGTCCTGTTTCACCAATGTAACTTTATCTAATTGCACTTGTTGCATTAAGACCTCTCGTATCACTGCACCGCCATGCTCTTCTGCCCTCATCGCAACTGCACATTTCTGTACTTGCTGATATTGCCCTGAATGCACTTGCTGACACTGCACTGACATGCGATTCTGCTCGATAACATTGGACTCAGAGCAATTTTGCACTCATTGACTTTGCACTGATTTGCAAATCTGTTCTCGTTTACATTGCACTGATTTGCAAATCCGCTCTTGTTTACATTGCACCGACTTGCAATTCTGTTCTCGTTGACATTGCAGTGATGCACAATTCTGATCTTGTTAACTTTGCACAATGTACAACACTGCACTATCACACAATTGTGCTCTCGTTGATACTGCACTGACACACAATTGTACTCTCGTTGACACCGCACTGACATACAATTGTGCTCTCGTTGACACTGCACCGACACACAATTGTGCTCTTGTTGACACTGCACCGACACACAATTGTGCCCTCGTTGACACTGCACTGACACACAATTGTGCCCTTGTTGACACTGCAGTGAAACACAATTGTGCTCTCGTTGACACTGCAGTGACACACAATTGTGCTCTCGTTGACACTCCAGGGACACACAATTGTGCTCTCGTTGACACTGCAGTGACACACAATTGTGCTCTCATTGACACTGCACTGACACACAATTGTGCTCTCGTTGACACTGCACTGACACACAATTGGGCTCCCGTTGAAACTGCACTGACACACAATTGGGCTCTCGTTGAAACTGCACTGACACACAATTGGGCTCTCGTTCACACTGCACTGACATACTATTCTGCTCTCATTTACATTGCACTGATGCACAATTGTGCACTCACCGACACTGCATTTACACACATATTTGGCTCTCTCTTGTTCAATAATTGGGCACACTTATAAATAACAATAAAACAGCAGCCAATTAGATAACAATGCCATCCCTATGGAGGAGCACCCACTCTTTAGAAATATCCCAATATAATATAACAGTATATGTAAATCTGTAACAGCTCATTCATTCTCAGCACCACGCTCCTTTCAAAGCAAGTTCCTAAAAGGATCCCAGCCTTCTCATGTACAGCCAATCAACGAGCGCCTTACAGCAGCCAATCGAGAAAGAGCAGCAGCTTCCTATGAACGAGCTCGTTCCATAATATTCAGGAAGTAGAGCTGCAGCCTGTGGCTGGCTGTTGGTTCGCTGCTGTGTTTAGAGTCCGGGCTGAAGAATGACAGTGCGGGCTCTAGTCCAGGGAGCTCTATTCATTGACTTTGTATAGATTAGTATAGGGAATCCGAATATAGATACAATGAAGACAGCGAGCGCTGTATTTAATGGCATACTGCTAATGTTAGTAGCTCTAGGTTTTAGAGATGTGTTCTTCGGTTATGAAGAGAACAGGTGCAGCATGACCTATATGTTCGAGTATCCCGAGTATCAGGTAAGCTGACCTAATCACATACACTACAAACTACTGGGAGTATATAAGTGTATGCGACTGGGCAGTATAGGTGACTGGGCAGTATATAAATGGTTGTGACTGGCCAGTATATAAGTGGTTGTGACTGGGCAGTATATAAGTGGTTGTGACTGGGAGTATATAAGTGGTTGTGACTGGGCAGTATATAAGTGGTTGTGATTGGAGGTATATAAGTGTATGTGACTGGGCAGTATATAAGTGTATGTGACTGGGCAGTATATAAGTGGTTGTGACTGGGCAGTATATAAGTGTATGTGACTGGGCAGTATATAAGTGTATGTGACTGGGCAGTATATAAGTGTATGTGACTGGGCAGTATATAAGTGTATGTGACTGGGCAGTATATAAGTGTATGTGACTGGGCAGTATATAAGTGTATGTGACTGGGCAGTATATAAGTGTATGTGACTGGGCAGTATATAAGTGTATGTGACTGGGCAGTATATAAGTGTATGTGACTGGGCAGTATATAAGTGTATGTGACTGGGCAGTATATAAGTGGTTGTGACTGGGCAGTATATAAGTGGTTGTGACTGGGCAGTATATAAGTGGTTGTGACTGGGCAGTATATAAGTGGTTGTGACTGGGCAGTATATAAGTGGATGTGACTGGGCAGTATATAAGTGGTTGTGACTGGGCAGTATATAAGTGGTTGTGACTGGGCAGTATATAAGTGGTTGTGACTGGGCAGTATATAAGTGGTTGTGACTGGGCAGTATATAAGTGGTTGTGACTGGGCAGTATATAAGTGGTTGTGACTGGGCAGTATATAAGTGGTTGTGACTGGGCAGTATATAAGTGGTTGTGACTGGGCAGTATATAAGTGGTTGTGACTGGGCAGTATATAAGTGGTTGTGACTGGGCAGTATATAAGTGGTTGTGACTGGGCAGTATATAAGTGGTTGTGACTGGGCAGTATATAAGTGGTTGTGACTGGGCAGTATATAAGTGTACGTGACTGGGCAGTATATAAGTGTACGTGACTGGGCAGTATATAAGTGTACGTGACTGGGCAGTATATAAGTGGTTGTGACTGGAGGTGTATAGGTGACTTGGCAGTATATAAGTTTAGGTAATTGGGAATGTAGATGACTGCGGAATATTGTGAAGGTTTCATATACCTGTTATCATTGTGGAATACAATATTGTCTACAGCAGGGGTGCCCACTATTTTTCATCTGGAGATCTAATTTTCAAATGACGAGCTCATTGAGATCTACCAACGAAAAAACACCTGCATTCAGGGGCGGGAGGAGGTGTGGCGGTGCATTGAAGTGAATGGCACCGCAGCCAGGCTCCGCAGGCAGGCCCCTCGCCCACACTGCGATCGCCTGCATTAGTGCCTGTGTTCCAGTCCAGTGCAATCCGCAAAAATGCTGCAAGCACTATTTTGCAGATCGCACTGGACCGGAATGCAGGCACTAATGTGCCTGCGTTCCGAGTGCGGGCGATCGCAATGTGGGCGATGACATTGACTTCAATACAGCTCCACACCCCCTCCCGCACCGGAACGCAGGGAGTCGGCCGGCTTACATTCCAGTGCGCCCTACATGTCCCGGCGTCCTGTCCTCCCGTGGTGTCCTGCACCTTTCCATCTGCAAGTACTGACACATTCAGCCGGCAGCCGCACGAGCACCACGGGAGCATAGCCGTAGCCAGCTCCTTTTGTGCCTGAGGCAAGATCGCTACGCGATCGACTGGTAGATCGCGATCGACCTTGTGGGCACCCCTGGTCTACAGTATAATGAAAGGTCAGATGTCTCTTGGCTCATGATTTCCTCTATAATAGGAATGTTTGGTTGTATCCTGTGTGGGTGATATTGGGGTTCAGTGTTCTTGTACAATAAGGTTTTAGCTCTGTGTATTGCAGCAATATCGTACCATAGCTCACAGCTGTCCCTCTTCTGAAACCGAATCCCCCTGTCCCTCATTTATCCTCAGTTGACCCTCTCAGGGCATTTATATCCGTAATCTAGAGCAATGTTCAGGGATGTAACAAAACCCCGAAATGCCCTATATCTCCGGGGAGAAGCGTACTGTTGTAATTTATGCATGTAATGGAGCATACCTGTACATTCACTCCTAGATGTAAGGGGAGACTCTGATGGGCAATCATGGATGTAAGGGGAGCTTTGCTGGGCATTCCTGGATGTGAGGAGGGACGCTGCTGGGCATTCCTGGATGTGAGGAGGGACGCTGCTGGGCATTCCTGGATGTGAGGAGGGACGCTGCTGGGCATTCCTGGATGTGAGGAGAGACGCTGCTGGGCATTCCTGGATCTCGGGGAGGGACGCTGCTGGGCATTCCTGGATGTGAGGGTGGACTCTGCTGCACATACCTGTATTCATTCACATGAATGCATTGGGAGGCCATTCAAAATAAAATTATTGCTGGGATTTGTTGTACTCCTCTATAGCTGGTGGTATTCCGCATTGCGTTGTACAATGTATTATTCCTTCAGTTGTAGTCCTCTATACAGCGCAATGCGGAATACCACCAGCTATAGAGGAGTACAACAGATCCCAGCAATAGTACATTATACATACAGCGTACAATGTATTGCTGGGATTTGTATTCCCATGTATAATATACAGCACAATGTACCATCAGCTATAGAGGAATACAAATCCCAGCAATACATTATAGAGCACCATGTGTGGGAAAGTGCAGGCTTACATGAGCAGTCTTCCAGCAACTTGCTTCTGAGATCGGGACTGTCTATCGCGGGCTGTCATCCACCATCCTTACCTCTACCCGTGTCCCTGTGCCGATCGTGGATGTGGGCAGACGGTGAGCGTGAGGCGGGGAGGAGGTGGTGCGTGTGGAGCGTGGATGCGGCCGGGTATCCTGTGAGGAGGGACGCTGCTGGGCATTCCTGGATGTGAGGAGGGACGCTACTGGGCATTCCTGGATGTGAGGAAGGAAGCTGCTGGGCATTCCTGGATGTGAGGAGGGACGCTGCTGGGCATTCCTGGATGTGAGGAGGGACGCTGCTGGGCATTCCTGGATCTCGGGGAGGGACGCTGCTGGGCATTCCTGGATGTGAGGAGGGACGCTGCTGGGCATTCCTGGATGTGAGGAGAGACGCTGCTGGGCATTCCTGGATCTCGGGGAGGGACGCTGCTGGGCATTCCTGGATGTGAGGGTGGACTCTGCTGCACATACCTGTATTCATTCACATGAATGCATTGGGAGGCCATTCAAAATAAACCCATAGCACCAAAGAGCATCTTGTTGCTCCAACACAAGTGTATGAATCTAGGCTTACTCTCCCATTCACATTATTGCATTGATTATTTGTAAACCCCGAAAGAAAATGTAGCAGCAAAAAAAAGTCTCTGTGTTCCACATTGGTGTGTCTGTTACCTAAATATTCTGTTATCCCGTGGACTAACGTCTGTTTTACTTGTATCTTGGTTGCTTTTAGCAGCCAGGAATCTGGTTGGGTAACAAAATGATTTGGCAGAATGACCTCTAAGAATTCTGTTCTCACTGTACATGAACTACAGGTCAGTGACCGGTAAACACTGAATTGTCATCTATTGTGTCGGGTTAACATTACTAGTAGCAAGGTAGAAGTCCACATCATAGATAACTGAAAAACAGAATACTGTGCCCAGGGCTTTTTTTCCAGAAAGAAAATAAGACATTCTTTTACATGAAATGTGGACTGATGCCATGTTTGAACATTTACCATTACCAGTTATTGGAATGTTTTTTCTTTTTCTTATTTTTGAAAGTGAGGGGAAATACAGAATACTTTGTGTGTTTCTGGGGTAGGGGGTCATTGAGTGACAGCTGTCAAAGTTGTAATTGGATACAGTTTTGTGTTTTCTAATTATCTATGGTAAGCACGGTTAAATTACTCAAAAATCTGATTTTTCTCTTACTTTATGGAAAGTTCCACTCACTTCCTGTTGCTTCAAAGCTGAGACCTCGCCCCCCCCC